ACACATCACACATTATAAGTAACACATCTGTCCAGGTACAGGCAGGTGCTGAAAACGATTTGCCATGTACCCCCTGCTAGTGTTGGCCCACATACAAGCAACAGAAGATGCTACAGGAGCCTGACCGGCTATGCGGTCGGATCTGGCAGCGAATACATAACCACGTGATAAGAACAGATGAATGCAAGTCGCGGGGTTTCTAAACATTACGGTGATATTAGCACACTCTTTATACGCCCCTAAAACATGGTGGCAAAGCTAGTAAGAGCTAAAAGGAGTTTGTATTCACCAGAAGCAGCGCAACGCGTAGACGAGTACAGAATTTCAATCGACGTTACTTGAATAAGTCCTTCTAAATAGTCACACAGACAACCCAGAATGCAAGAAAAAAATCGAAATCCAAATTGTGACTGAAATATCACAAACACACGTACCGTCATTGAAATCCTGCTTGGCAAGCTGTAAGGCGTAGAACTCACAGTCACGCTTGCTAAAGGAGAAGACAATCAGTGGGTCCAGATTCTGGTCCATAACAAGTTTTACTAGCTTGTAGCAATAGGGGACAGAGCGCGTAGAACCACCCTTACGACCACGCATCGCTGTATCCGCCTTGGCATTGTCCGCTGACTTTCTCACCACATCAATGGCAGAGTTGAAATTGGCCTCCAGAAATTGGCGCTAAGATGGAGAATGGCAATAGGGTTACCTTCGATAAACAAGAGTTCTTTTGATTTAGGCAGCACAGGTAAAGTCGCTGTCAGGCGTCCAGCTTCCCATCTACACCTTCCTGTTGATAGTTCGGAACGGAACTGAAACCCAACCGACTTCGTCCAGGTCGCTGCTAACTGTACAGCCTCTGCACTAATTTACCAACTACTGACTGTTCTACCATTAATAATATAGTAGACCTGAATAATTAAACACAAAAGTCTTCGTCGACTCTGAAAAGACTCCTGTAATCAGTGGGAGGGGAGGAAGGGTCAAAAAATGTCAAATGGCTAGGGCTCAAGTCTTTCAGGAAGAAAGAACTCCTACACAGATGTGATACACGGTCCGTAAGCTCACAAGATATGCACCTTTTAAGAGTATTTGATTGATGATCCATGCGGCTTATTCGCCGAATACGCCTCTGGCGTCGAGCAGTGGCACTTGTCAACTGCGCTCTCCCTATTGGCCGATTGCAGTGGTTGTGGAATGCTCCAGGACGATATGATGACGGAACCATTCGACTTGAATCCGACTCCCGCAAACCGGCTTCCAAGTGGCTAGCTGATACACTGGAGAGAAACCGTGAAAAAATACCTCGAGCGCACACCTGTTTCTAGGGGTCTTGGGCAAGTGGGGCTGGACACGCTAAGTTGATCATTCAAGGTGCTGCGAACGCGCAACACAGAAGCGGTTGAATCGGGCATGGTAAATGAAATCATAGATAGGTATGTTATGTGCCCTCAGTGTTCCGACTTTCCCAGCAGCAGGCGGTCCTACCTCACATATACTTGACTCCCATGAGCGACAGTTTTTTTTTCCTTAAAATTCCTCAAATGACATTCGAACTTCTAAAATTTCGGAACAAAGCCCACGGGGTTTTCTCTCACTGTCTGCTCTTTTGCCCAGGTTCACCTACTGGTTCGTGTCAACTGGCCTCGCTCATAAGCCGGGGCAAAGAGCAATACTTACACGCGTAATTATATTACTTAAAACCAGTAAGTAGTCGTGTATGCTTACTTTTTCCGAATAACTGGCGCTGAAATTATGTAAACGACCTCTTGAAATTTTCTGCTATACACTGCATTTCTTAGCTGCTGTGTTACCAATAGGGAGCTCAACGGCGTTTTTCTATATTTCCCTGAATAAACCTGACCTTACAGCAACCGACGCTTCCGTCAGTGAGTTTATTCCGGTCCTTAAAGTGCAATGCAAGGCTATATGGGGCGCAAACCGCACTTGGTTGCAGAACAGAAAACTTCCAGAAGAAACGTTTTCATGGCTTGAGAAATTTTTGGTTAGTTCCATCTAACTATTACCAGTCTTCCAGTTAAAATTACCGCATTGTCAATAAGGTCTACAAGGCATAATATGCGACTAAAGAGGGGCTCCACGATCAAGAGCAACCTAGTACTCTGTTCCCTATGCAAATATTTTACAAAACGGAAGCGATTTAGACAGTGAGCACACCTCTTGATTGACGACAAGGAAAATTCCGTCTCCACCGCAGGGAAAGACGTAGTGCTGTAGAGGAGTGGGTCGGTAGTTGGTGAAGATAACATGACAGGGTTTGTGATGCAGATGGACGACCCACTCGGCGAATTGCCTGGCATTTGGAATTGTGGCACTGAGAAAGACCTGGTTAACGCTGTCAGGCAGAAGGATGATGGACTCCTCCCAAACCACACCACGTTCCTTTTCACGCATATAGTGGATTTCATCAAATATGACCCAACCCAATTCTCGGGTGACTTCAGATCCACTTGTAGGGGAAGGAGAGGACAAAAAGACAACACCGGGTGACGAAGTAGTGACATTTTAAATAAAGGCAACGGCAAAACATACTATCAGTTTACAAACCCCGGTAGAATGCTAAGCATTCTACAGTTATTTTAAAAAAATGCAGAAAAGCATTTGTAACCTAGGACCTAGAAGCGTAGGTAAGAGTGTAAGAATGACGAAGGAGTTATAAAAGATCATTCAGAACACGCTTCTGCAAGGTAACGTCAACAGGTCCATACGGAAAAGGAAGTAATAGCTCGGGCTTGGAAAATGAATATCGGACAGAAAGCAACAGACCAACAGTTGTGTGCTATACAAATATGTTACATAGAAGCCAGGCCAGGGCAGTCAACGGTACTAGGACCCATATCTGCTACTGCTACCTGACTGTGTCTCTGATGACGAATCCGCTACAGATCTCGAAAAGTCAGGCGAATAAAGGTATTGTCCCAGCGATCGAGTCGTCTTCTTCTCAGGTACTTTGACAACGGCAAAGTCTACAGTCGTGGAGAGCCTTTGCTGAACTTTAGTAAGTTATACATCCTATTGTGGTAGCGACCATAGAACCCCTAACAAATCGCCCGATAGCTAACTTTGAGCGACATAACTTTAAGCCAGGTGGCTCTCCTTTGCTGATGCTGCCGAGGGTGATAGTGCCGTTGAGAGATAAGTTCGGTAGGTGACGTACATCGTGTAACATTAATTGAAGTTCTGGAGTATGATCAAGGTTAACGAGGATTACCTAGGCGGCATTTTAATATTGATTAGCATACACTATAGGCCCAAGGGATTTCAGCCATATCGGAATGCCGGCTTTGGACGAACGCTTTTGCGCTGGTTGTAAAAATGGCAGGGGCCATAAATCTTAACCCC